CAATGACCACACCAGAGCAGTTAATTGACACTACAGCCTGTGAAGAACCCCACACCAGAGCATATCAATAAGCCCTGAAGGAAGCTGCAGCTCGTGGAAGGTTTATGCAGGAACCATGGCCCGTGGAGGAGAGTCCACACAGGAGCAATCTATGACTAAAGGACTCCATGGAAAGAATCCACACTGGAGCAGTTCTTGAAGAACTGCAGCCTGTGGGAAGGGCCCACATTGGAGAAGTCTGTGAAGAAATGTATCCCATGGGAGAGACCACATGCTGGTTTGGGGGAACAATGTGAGAAGAAGCAGTAGACATGAAGTGTTATGGTCTGACCACAACCCCCATTCTGCATCTACTCTGCACTTCTTGGGGCTGGAAAGGAGGGAGGCTGAAGAGTTAGGAGGGAAGCAGAGAGGGAATGGAGTGCAGATGGTTTTAGTTTTGTTCTTATTTCTCACTATCCTGCTCTGTTATCAGTTGGCAATAAGTGAAATTATTCTTCCCCGAGTTGAGTCTGTTTTCCTGTGATGGTGGAACTGGTGAGTGATCTCCCTGTCCTTAACGCACAAGTTTTTCATCATACTTCCTCCTCCTGTCCTGCTAAGGACACAGTGTGAGAGACCTGCTTGATGGGCACCTGGCAGCCAGCCAAGGTCAACTGACCACAATATCACATAGTAAACTGGAATTATAGAAATGACATTACCTTTCATCACCATCTAAAAAACCAACACATTGATCAGTTAATAGGAAGAAGAAAGGGATTCAGTGAAAAATTATGAAGATGACTTTAAAAGAAGGAAAGTTAGAACAAGCAAGAAAGGATATAAAGAAGACTGACAGAATAAGAAGGAAACACCTAGGACAGACATCAGAAAATCTGTATGCTGACAAAACATGTAAATATTTTAACAAAATATTTCAGCTACAACCTTGCTTCCACCAAGCAGTAATAATTTGACATAGAAATTGATTAAAGCATCCTCGTGCTGTTTTTCACAGCAAAAGCTTTCTTATCTTAAAAAAAGTCATGCTGCCAGTCTTCCTGGAGTCTACAGTACTGCTCTACACAATACCACAAGGCTACTGTTGCCTTCTCCCTTCCTGTACTCAGGTCCTGCAAGCAGTCTGACAGGAGTATCAATACCTTACACCCCACAGAGAACAGCACAATGTCTGAGTAAGGGTGGCTATTCTCTTTCTCAAAATCAAAGGATGGAAACCTTTGCAACACAATGCATTACTTTGAGCCAGACCGGTACACAGAGATGCTCGTGATGACACTGCCAGTGGTTAGCAGTTAGCCAAGATAAGCATTTCAGCTCTTCACTGTCATTTCAAATTCTGCAGAGGTTGATATGGACTGTCTACACACTCTTAAGGTCCAAAGTAAAGTAAAATAGTCTTTTTAGTGCCAAGTCTGGTTAATCAGCATCAACCTAATCTTAAACCACAGCCAATAATTTTTGGGGTTTTTGTTAATCTTCTGGTTACCAAAATCTGACCTACATATTTTGGTTTATTTCAATTATGTTATTTTAATTATTAAAATATCAATGTAATTTCCTCCTACTTATGTTAGATTTGACTACCTAGACTGAAGGTTCACTATGAGTTGAAGTCCAACAGTGTCCAAATTGAAATAAACCTAAATATTGAAAATATGTTTTGTCATTGACTCTGTCTTGGATGGGTTTCCCTTCTTCCTTTCTTTTCAGATGCAATTAATGTGGAAATTTTCAATATATAATATGAAAAGACCAGAAGTGGAAAAGTAGATCTTCTTTCAGCTTGGCTGTATGACATGACAAAAAGGCTAGTCGCATTGAGTGATAACCTGAATCTCTCTTCTGAATCCCCAGTTGCTACTGTGCATTCATTTTCAGCTGGTACAAAATCATTTTGTTGGAAAAATAATTTTCTTCATTACTTATTCACTATAATTTATTCAACAATTTGTTGAAATAATTTTGTCTCACTGAAACCACTTTTATAGCACAGTAATGCCACTAATTTTGATAGATTTTCGGAATAGGTAGAACTGAGAGGCAAGGCATGTGTTGTGTCACATTAAAAGCTTCTAGGTAGGCAAAGTCAGCAGTGGATGTCTGCTATGTCGTTTAGTTTCATGGTGACTAACACTGCATTCAATGTATCAAATCCACAAAAGACCTCATTTGCAACTTACAACAAAGTGAATTTAGTCCGTGATGTTTTATAAATAGAAAATATATTTGTTCGGCTCTTGTTTAGATGAAATAAGAGGTAAAATATAATCCACACAATAGCCACTTAGAATCAAGATCTAGAAAGCAAGTGAGGAGGAGGGAAAATGGAGAATATTCCTGGAATGTATTTGAACATCTATGTGAGATCTTTAGGTTATGTGTAAGGGAGCTGCTTTTACAAATAAAAGAAAATACTTAGTTTGTAAGCCATTTTTTCTGAGAAATGTTTAAATGTTTTCATGGACAACTTCCATGCAAACCTGGAGCAAGGTTGTTAAGAGAATGGAAACCAGAAAATACAGATGTTGAAGATTGCTCATTCAGAAGAATGTGAATATTTTAAACTTTTTTTTTTTCTCTACATATTTTTACTTTCTTAACTCAGAAAAAAATAGGCAAACTTTTGTGTGGTTACTGTTACTGTTCTTAATCTTAGCTTACCTTGATTTCACATGCATCTATTATTCTAAAATAGCACCATAAGAAAATGATTGTGTAGAACAAGCCAGAGAACTTTAATTGTCATGTCTACATATTAAACTACCCCAGTTTAACTAAATTGCTATATATTTTGTAAGTTTGGGTGCAGAAAACCTGTACTTTCCCTTATGCAGAAATCCAGCAAATTGCAGCATTCACGTTGTGTTCTTAGGTATAACAAGAGGTGGAGGTCAGATCTAAATTTAAAGTGAGAATGACAGAGAGTTTGGGGACCTCTAAGCAAGCCCTATCTGGTATTTCTGAGTTGCATGTATATGATGTTCTTTTATGCGGCTGGTGCCCCACGTCAGACATTCTTCTGGCAGACTCAACAGCTTGCATTGAGTTGTGAGGTTGTGAAGGAGGTAGTTTGGCAGACAGTGAGCCAGAAACAAGAGAGTGTGCTATTTATATTGTTGTCTGGTTTACGTGTTTATATGCTAAATTGTATGAGCTGGAACCCCAGCTGAGTGTAGTTCTCGTGGCATGGGCTAATCAAACAACACAATATTTTAGGAATACATAGCTTTCTTTAGGACTCCTTTATTTATAGGGAAATAGGTCTTCTTCTATGATAAGTAGTGAAAGCTGATGATGGCATATCGGTAGAAACAGTTTCTTGGGCCTAAAAACACTGCAGGTACTGCAGCACTGCCAGCCAGGCAGGCATTGTCCTAAAGTGAGAATTTATGGGAGATCAACTGTGACTCTGAGTGCACAGCCTGTCCTGCTGTAAAGGTGTGAGTGCAAAGGCTCTTGCTTTGTAGGCGGTGCTGAACGACTTGCCAGAGTTGTGATTTTTCCCTGCAGCCCTAAGATTTGTGAAGGGAAAATTTCTTGCTGCGTGTGGGAGAAAGCAGGAGAGAGAGCATGAGCAAGTTAGTGAGTGAATGCTGAGCCCTTACAGGTGATCCATTACCCTGCAGCCATTACAATTTGTCATATATGCTTCACCTAGCATCAGCTGCAAGATGAAATGTTTTCAGCTCAGTTTATCAGTCTACCTGGATGTGTCAGGTCAACTTCCTTTTAACCCACTGTTCTGGTTCATGGGCTTTTGGAAAATATGGCACAGCTGATCAGAGCTAGCAGTTGTCTTTCTTCTTTTTTTTTTTTTTTTTATTTTGCTCACAGTGTGAAACACGGTTTCCTGTATGCAGACAGTACTAAGAATTTGACTTCCAGATTAATCCAGTACAGTTCAAAAATCCTGAAATACGCCTTAACTTCTGTTGAAAAGGATAATTAAGAAAATCTATTATATTAGAAGAAGAATTTTTTCCTTTGTAAATATATTCTCACACACACATGCATATATGCGTGTGGGCATGCAAACACACCTACCTACACATGTGCATTTTAAGGATCTAAACAAAATGAAATAAATCCACTTAAAATTATTTTTATTGTTTAACAGAATAAAAAATTATACACTTTTTAGTCACAAAGCTATGGCAAAATGATATGCTGATAGTTTTTCAGTTTTATTTATCTTTATGTGTCTTTATAATTACAGGAAGGAATCATGGTATATGCTTTAGTAACACTCAAATTAGAAAATTCTATTTGAAAATATTCTGCAAAAATTCTATTTGCAAAATTTTTCACGGATTTTTAACAGATAGAACCTGAACAGGTTAACTTCTGTTTTTACTGTCAGACATAACTGACAGAATTCCTATGCACACAGTGTAATTTTAGAATGGAAATTATTGAAATACTAGTTAAAGTTACATGGTCAGGCAGTTCACACAAATTACATTGCCCTTCCATACAGAATGTCCTAATATACCGCTGCTGGTGTAATGGTCATTGCTCAGTCCCATGTTTTTTAAGTCCTCTTATTCCCAGTTTACTAATGCTGACTATATAGAGATTGAAGGGCACTTGCCCATATTTTTCATGCTGACCACTATCCAGTATGCAACCAAAGAGGGATATTGCTATCAAGTGCAGTTTTCATATAGTTTTGAAAAACTTACCCTTCTTCTCTCCACTTGACTCTCTAAGTGATCTTTTAAAATTATAGATGTATAAAAATGACATGCAGCTGACTTTTTAAAAATTTGTCTTTGGTCTTGAAGGAAATGGGATACTACTGGAAGGTTTAAATCTAGTGTATTTTCTTATTCAGTAGAGAAACTTAAGTTTATTGTCATTAAACAGTATTGGTTTAATTTTTATTATTATTTAGGTTAATGGGTGTGTAATATAATTGATAAACATTATCTTATGCTAATTTTGATCCTTCATATTTAGTCCTCTCTTTTTTTTCTCTCTTTTTTTTGCTACAGGTTACTAAACGTATATGCTGTGTTTTTGTGAAGCTGCAAGCACATAAATGACAGTTTTTAGTTTTTTATGTTAATACCCTTCTACAAATTTCCTATCCATGGAAGCACAGTAAACAAATAGAATTTTGCCATGGGACAGAACTGCATGGAGCACAGAAGAAAGATTGGAGTTTTACTGGCACACTACTGTTTCTTTTTGCTCAGGCATGCTGCTTGATAAAAGTGACTGTTTACTTGCATACAGTGCAGTTTGATAAAAGTCATCATTTTATTAAAAAAAAAATTATAGAGTATTGTTTTCATCTTAATTTTTAATTGCAATTTCTGTTACTTTACTTTCAACTTTTGTGTTCTGTCCTGCAACGTAACAGTTTCTCACCTCTGGTTGTTTTGCCTCAACCTCAAGCACTTAGATGGGAATTTTTGAAACTTTCATCCTGGGATGTCTGCTTTTCCTGTACACATTATCTTACTGAGCTAATGGTGACATGGCTTTTGATGAGACAAAGAATTCTGTAATTATAGGAGTCCAGCATATTTTGTCAAGACAAGGCTGACCTACTTGCCACAGGGACCATAAAGATCTATTTGTCTGTCATCTCCACCACTTTAAGACATGCTAGATGTTAGGCCTCCTCCAAACATGCAACCCAGTATCCCTCTAAGGACAGTATGGAGAGAAGCTGGATGTGAACCTACTCACTTGAATAGCAGGATGTGAGGGAAAGAAGCTATCCCTAGGCACACGTCAAAAGATGATCTAGTAGAAAGAATCTAAAATGACCTAAGGAGCTTAAGCACTATACAAACCCCCTTGATGTGACTTGTCATGCCTGAAGGACTAAACTTATTGATAGGAGTGGGGAAATCCAACCTGGTAAGACTGATTGATATTCACCAAATTGCTCTGCCTCTGTTTACAAGTGCCACATGTATGCCTAACAGCTAAGGCTAGGCTGGGAATTGTAAATAAGGGAAGAAATTTATTTAAACTATGGCATGACCTATCATCACCATGTTCACTGAAACAAAGTATTAGCTGAAATGATGTAGCTTGAAAATAATGAAATGTGCTAGAAGACAGTTTTATTAGGCATTTTCAGAGTTGGAGGGAACAAACCAAATCTGACTCTGAATCTGAAGAGTAGGAGAGCATTTAAGTGTAATGTGAATCCTGTTTCATCTTTATAAATGTAAAGAACTAAGCATAAGAGAACATTAAGTGATTAGCTTAAATGTGCATATTCATGATGGTCCTGAGAAGATTGTTTTATTGACATCTGATTCACTTCCTTTCATATGTCTATTCAAACACTGTATTGAATTCTAACAAGCTAAGCAATTCCTCTAATTAAAAAAAAATGACTAGGGTGATGCCTTAAATTTACTTAGAAATGGATGCTTTGCTATAAGACTTAAGCATTTCAGCAAATACACTAACAAAACCATCTAAGGATAAAATTATTTTTGTAAACTCAAAACAGCAAACCGTGTAAAACAGCTGAGTTAGTTATTTGGGGTTATTTGGATATCTCACCACATTACTGTATTAATGTAAAATGTTCTTCATCTTTGCTTGTTAATCTAGATTAACAGGAAAATATCAGCATAAATATCTTCACAGGGTTTTTTTTCATCAAGTCATGCTTTTGTAACTGTCACCCTAGAATGGGAGGGGACATAAGCTCTTGCCTTCTTTCCAAGAAAACATTGCAGATTACCAAAAGAGAAGAAACAGCTAATACCCTGAATTGTCTGGAACAGACCTTTCTAGGCTTTTCACTGTCTTCTGCTTTCAGCATTTTGAATTATTCATCATTTTTCTGTTTGACCTGTCTTGTTTCAAAGTAAAAGGCCAACAGAAATGAAAAACAACTGGAAATATATAACCACTTTCTTTCAAGTCACAAAAGCATGTCTATAAATGTACCTGTGTAGTGTGTAGAATAATTTCAGAATCAAAATAATATCTGCTTCTGTCACAACTGTAAAATCTGAAAGAATTTCAGTTTTAAGAATTGTAAATAAGGTGAGTTTGATTTTTAATATAAATAATATTTCTCTATATCGACTTCCCTTCCCTTGTTGTTTGTAATTAATTTCTTATAATGATCCTCAGAGAACTTATGGTTTAATTGCTTTTTCTAGAGAATAGTTTGTATGGTTTGAAATGACAGGTGGTTATAAGCTAATAAAACATATTCCCTAGACCCCAGCTTTAAAAGCTCCATGCAAAATGAAGTAAACTGGCTTTATTTTGCATTTTGACTGTATCAAATCCTCAATGGGCAGCCTCTCACACCAACCAGCCAGCCAACCAAAACTTTCTTAATATCATACAACCTGAAAGAAAATACTAAGTTTTTCAAGACTTCATTGAATTTTATTTGATTCTTCCCTTTACTACAGTCTTTTTCCTTCATGGAAAGCAACATTAGGAAATCCTTTTTAAATTCTTTATCCAAATAATTTTTCATAGCAGGATAATGTGCAGAAAGATTTAATTGGTTCAAGTAATCAATTTGGAAAGTTTTGACAGCATGACCGGGAATTTTACTTAAGCAATAACACTCTTAATTGACAACAGATTCTTACAACAGTTCATCAGTTAAACCTGTGTCATCATTCACTGAGTTGTAAATTTTATGAGGACATAATGCTAGTTATATAAATTTCATTTTTCTCGAGCTTAAAATATTCTATTCAACAAAAGCCTAGTCATCATGAATAGCTGTATGGTTTCTTGATAGATGGGTAGGTTAAAGAAGGTTAAGTAGATACGAGTGTAAAGTAAATAAAAGGGTGAATTGGGAGCATTCCTCTTACACACAGACATTCTTGATAACTGTTTACTTTAGCATTAATTACTTTGTTAGAAGTTTCCATCAAAACTGAAATTTGGAGTCTCAGTTCAAGTGGATAGTATGGCTACTTTAATGGTGTGAGAATTTTTTTCACTTTGGCGAGAAGAATAAAAAAAAGGCTGGAAATTGAAAGTGTTATATCTCATCAGAGTACAGCTGTTATTAGAGGGGAAGAGATGTGGAAACAGACATGTCAAACACGTCTGAACAGACATCAAATACAATAAAAATCAGTATCTTGGACATTATACCAGCCCTTTGTCATGTCACTTCTGGTTTTCCTGCATAAGTTTGGTTTTCAAGCTGTACCTGTTACTATCTTTACTAAAAAGGTTTATTTTTTAAGCTAATTTTATAAGCCCTATGAAAAATAGAGCATATTGTAGTTGCAGTTTATTTCATCCTGAAGGTTTATGATAGTTTACCTCAAGTTTGTTTCTTTAATATCTTTAAAAAAAATGATAAAAGAAGCACTTTGATTGGACTCAAAGGCAAAAAAAATAAACAAAACCAAAACAGGTGCCATGCAGTTACACACTGTTATTTGCACTCTGTGTTGTCCTCTTCCATCATTTTCTTTTAGTGATGATTACATGGCAAGTACCTGTATAAAACGCATAAAGTCCTTGTCAATCTCCACAAAGACTCTACTTAATTGTAGGTCTAGAAAAAAAGTTAAGTTTATTAAAAATCTAAAGCCAGGTGATCCACTTCACTTTTAAAATCATCTTTCACAGTGTTTTTAGATAGCTGTGCATTGATACCGCATTGCTGACACATTATTTTGGGTAAGTGGAAAGTTGGTATGGTAGAGACATTTTCACAAGCAAATGATTATTTATTTTGAAAGACTATTAATATTTTTCAGTTCGTATGTCTGTGCAAAGGAAATGTAATGTCAACAAAAGAGCAATGAAAAAATAATTTAAAAAATACTTGCTAGTTTTAATTCTGATTTATAGCGTAAATATATGATATACCAGCCTATCTGAATTTATATTTTTATGGGCAAAATATTATGCATCAGATAAATAATTTAATGAATATATAATAATTCAAATTTAATTGGTGTAGCACCCCTCTTTAAATATGCATATATAGACATGTCACTGAGAACTGTTTCTTTGTATAGCTTTGAAAAAAGAAATTCCTCACTTCAACACAATCTCCTTTGGTAATAATGTTGAGGTACCTGTGAAGAGTTAAGTGTCAAAAGAGACTTTAACTCAGTAATCAAAAAGCAAGAATGAAATTCTAAGCAGTCTGGAAGGACTTCAGTATAAAATCATAGAATCATAGAATATCCTGAGCTGGAGAGGACCCACTAAAATCATCAAATACAATTCCTGGCCCTGCACAGGGACAGCCCCAAGAATTACACGATGTGCCTGAGAGCATTGTCCAAATGCTTCTTGAACTCTGTCAGGCCTAGTGCTCTGACCACTTCCCTGAGGAACCTGTTCGGGTGCCCAACCACCCTCTAGATCAAGAAACTTTTCCTAATATCCAACCTAAACCTCCCCTGACACAACTTCAAGTAATTGTCTTGGGTCAGTGGTCAATGGAGAGAAGAGATCAGTGCCTGCCCCTCCTCGTCCCCTCATGAAGAAGCTGCTGAACACTTAGAAAAATGTAGAATTTCTTTCTAAATGCTGTACAAAGCAGATGAAAGAACTCTGTGAGTATTCACCTCAGAGTAAAAAATATATATAGTCCTCCCCTGAAAAATCCAGATGTGGTCTCTGGAATAATGGATCACTTCAACTGATAATTTGTTTTGAATAAAGCCCTGTTGCTTTACAAACCTGGCTTTGAAACTGTTTCATGAAAACAGCTTTAAATAAGGATTGACAGAACAAGAAGTAGTAGCTGAAGAATGTCAATAGCCAGCTGACAATAAGAAACAGTAGTGCACACAAACATCTATAACAGGCAAAAGGGAGTCTTCTTAATGTGATAATATAAGGATATCAAAATTAGTATGACAGTCTGCAAAATGCACTGCTATAAGTATATTAATGCAAGAAATATGGGGGAAAAAAAAGTGTGAGACTCTTACTAGTTGGTCAAGTTTAAGACTAAATTGGTATAATAAACACGATAGGATAATTTCTATTGTGGAATGTTAATATAAAATAAGCATAGCATGTACAAGAAAGGCAGCTAATGAAAATGAGGACTATTGCTTTGAAGATCAAGGATGCATGTGCTTGCCAAGACAGAAAATAAAAGAAGGGAGGCTTTCTGGAAATCTCTGAGTAGAGATGAATGGGGAAGAGAACAACGGCGCTATCTGATTAGGATCTACTACAGTCCAAAATGTAGAGAAATTCAGGATAAGGCTGAAGAAATAGTAAAATTACTCAGCACACAGAGTTTGCTTTCAAAAGGAATGGGGGAGTTAGGGAAATGATACAGAAGGTTGGAGCTAATTCCCACCAACTTGGAGGCATTGGATAAGAATGTAAAGGCCATCTTAATGTGAAAACCATAAATGAATAGAATTCAGGATCTGGTGGGGTTAGGAAATAAAATGGCATAAAAAGAAATCAAAAAATCAGGCTCTCAGGAAGACATATATAGTCAGAGGATTGACAGTTATTGCAGGTGAATGTAAGAAAAAATGATTTAAATTATAGGTGGTCTTTTCTTATGAGCCAAACACAAAATAACTAAAAGAGAGATAGGCAGATGGGAAACATCTCTCAATTGTGAGATTTTCATAGTTCTCAGATGTATGGAAAATGTGCACAGGAAGCAAAAACTATATTAGCTTACTAGAAATAAGTTCAAAAGTACAGAGCAAACACATAGGGACAAAAATCCAAATGTTTAGATGCAAAGTGGGGTGCAACTTACAAGAAATGGCATTGATAGTAAAGAAAAAGTATATTTATAGTAAAAGGAGAACTAAGAATATCATTGGTCAGCTTCTTCATGCAGAAGGAAAAGTATTGACAACTGATGCTTGGAAAGCCAAATATTTTAATAGCTTTTGGATCTTCATAAGACATTAAAATTATAAGCCACCATTTGCTATTAGCAAAATTGGTGCAAAAAAGAGAAAGAGAAGTTTATAGAACAAAGGAAGAAGAAATGGGAGTACTTAAATAAAACAGATGTTTTTAACTCATTTGGTTCTGATAATCTTCAAATGAAATCACAAAAATGAAGCAGATATTTTTGGGCCTGAAAAATGCAAGAGTGATTTATTTATTTTGGAAAAGAAAGAAAACAGGAGGAACACACCAATTACATATAAAAAAACCCCAAACAAATAAAAAGTACATAGGCAAATAATCAACCATATCTAATCATCTGAAAGACAGTAAGGAGATAAATAGCAGCCAACATGGACATATAAAGAAGAAAGCACTCTAACTCTGTATATATGTTATACATATGTATGTTTTTTAATAAAATTACTGCAGACTTGTAGGTCAGGAATTTGTTGTTCTATTTGATCTCTCTGAGGATTTTTCCTAGCCATTAAAATTAGATTATGACATAGGACTATATAGTTAGTCTACACGTGGTTTTTCTGGAAGTATGGTGCTAACTGAATTACTCTTCACATTTTTTTCATAACATTTGCCTAAAATCCATTTGAATTTTTAAATTTCTTTAACAATAACTTTATCATTGCTTTGAAGAAAAGAATAGTGTAGCTGATAGAAAGATTGGTCCTTGAGAGATGGAAATGGAGAGCAATCATGCAACTATTTTCTTTGTTTTCATTTTAAGGACAAATGGGAATCAAATGCCAGCATGAGGTAGTTATAAACTTAGTGAAATTGCTCTACTAATCTTGCAATATGCTGTCAAGATAATAATAGCTCTCAGCATTTCTATTGATTTCTGAAGGAATTACTAACTTATTATCTAAAAGAATTCCTTATAACTGGTTAAAAATGAAATGAGTGTTTGAAACATCCACTATTTCAATAACTATGGTGAAAATTACCCTTTTATTCAAAAAGAAAGCAAGAAAAATGAGAAGTAGCATGTTATGAATGTGTCATCTTGAGTTACACAGACATAAGGTGGACGCAAAGTTCCCTGTGAACCACATACCTTTTCATGAGTGTGTACTCTTGGAAGTATTCAGAGACTTCTATTTCACAACTCTATCTGAGGCTTCAAAATTTATATTTTGGCCACTTTGGACCAAACTATCATATGCCTTCCTGAGACAGAACTGTAATAAAACAGTGCTCTTTGGAGCAAAACCAATAGTATTTCTTGGCTTCAATTTCTCTCTTTCCTTCTCTACCATCAGAGAGCTCTGGAAGACAGAAATCATCCCACTAGAAAGTATTAACTCAAAAAAACATTTATTAAACAAAGTATTTTAACAAAAGTACATTTGGCAAGAACTTTATCTTTCACTCTCTGTAGTGCAAATTCAGTGAATGAGTTAGGAATGAGGATAGCACCTACCACCTAGATAGAAAATGTGTGATTTCTTTGAAGCACATCTTTAGGTCTCTGGGCTGAGTAGGTCTTTTTTTGCTCTAGGAAGAAATACATCTCTGGAGAAAATTTTCAGACAAATTTATTACTTTGAAATTGAAGTTATACTTCTTACCTTGTCTCATTTTATGTTGTAGAATTACCTTTTATCCAAAATCTCAGGTTGCCTATTTTACTTACACAATGCAACACTTAACTACCAAATGGAAGAGTAGCTGTCTTAACACATAGTGTAATTTCTGTAGTAAGAACTGAAATCCTATTACAATATTCAAATACTACATTAGTTTTTAGATGAGTTGCTTATGTTTAGGTACTTGCTCCTCATCAGTTTAAGTAGTTCACTGGAAAATATTATAATGCTTCCTATTGTAAGCATAATCTGACATATTATTTCCAGTATTATGCTTTCTGCGCTCCTGATGCATCGTGGCCCAACTTAAGCAAGGTGTTTTGAGCACTTGGTAATTTTTCCTGCATCTGAAAGGACATTTTTTACCCCAATTCTGCTTTGGAAAATTTCACTCCTTAACCTTGATAGGTTAAGACTCTCTGTTGTGAGGAGTGGGAGTTTCAACCCTCTCAGACTATCACCAGCTGCGCATCCACATATGTTCAGTAACAAAATACAAGTACAATTATCTAGACTCAAGAAAAAATTTACATGCCTATGTCAACAGAGGTTTTGAGCCATAAATCCCAGTTTCTGCAGACATGAAGCTCAAGATCGTGTGTAATTACTGAGATCCGGGCAGTGCGCATGCTCGCATCATTGTTTCCGGATCGCTTTGGTGTATGGCATCTTAAGGCTCAAGAC